CCACACACACATACACTTTTTTTTTTTGCAAAGTCACAGTTATAGGCCATAAGTAACAGGACTTAGACACATATTTTGGATGGTACCATATATACCCACCACACAAGATGATAAGAATACATTTCAGATGGGAATTCTGAGGCACATGTGGGAAACATCCTGGCAAAGCCAGCAAGGAACCGAGATTCTCCCTCTCTCTTCCTAGTCCCTGACATCTGTCCTCTGAACCTAGGCTTTGCTCACCAGACATGGACCTTTTCAGAATTCCCAATGACTTTTAGAAATTTTTTCAGGATCCACATGGTCCAAGTCTTGCTGACCCTTCAAACCCTCCTCCCTCCAAGGGTGGCCTGAAACCTACATCATATCCTTCTGCTTCTGCCTCTGATCAAGGTTACAGGGGTATAATCTCTCTACTAGGCTAACAGGGGTGCCATCAACATGTCCAGCTTGGTCCTTCAATTTCTGATCCTCTGTGGAAACTGAGTCAGCTCCTGGCTTCTCTGTGCTACATCTCTACATGGCCACAATGCACAAGATTCTGCATTTGAATTTGTCCCCTGACTCCAAGCCCTTGAGCTCTGGCCTGGGTCAGATACCTCCCTGATAGGGCCTCAGTACTTAGATGCCTAGGCTTGGTTTCTGGCAGCTGGCAGGCTCCAGCTTAGACTTTATGAGATTCAGGATATAGGGAGGCCAAAGAAACAGAGAGGATAAAAGCAGGGCAGAGGGTTGAAGGACAGGAGGCTGAGATGAGGAGGAGACTGACCCCTGAGCCAGGGTATCTGTGGTAGACAAAGGGGCCTTTTGGAGTTGCCTAGAGTAAGGAAAGGTTGTAAGGATATGAGGATGGTGTGGAAGATTGGTTGAGGAAGACAGGAAAGCAGAAAGAAAAAAGGATCTCTGCTTCATAAGCAAAAGAACAGCGGCCGCATCTCAAGTGATTACGAGCTTTTAAATGCCCCATGATTCCACCGCAGGAACAACCTGGGGTGAGGGAGGTGTGGAGGGAGGGAAGTGAGTCTCTTTTGGCTGCACACTCATCCCATCTCGTTGGATCTCCTCCTAGGAGTCCGATAACTGGCCTTGCTTATCCTAAGGAAGGTGACAGTTTCCCTAGGAGGCATGCTCGCTTATTTCTCAAAACATAGAAGCAAGCCCTCCGTGAGCCCAGCGCTCCGTGGGACTCTCCCTCCAGAGTTGGTCGCTTAGTCGCTTAGGTCGTGGCAAAGGAAATCTCCGGGCAGGTCAGCCAGAAACAGTCCCCTGCTCACTGCCAGACGGACCTACGTATCTTTGATGATCTACAGGCGCTGGAGAAAAGCAGGGGCGTACGTGCCTCCCGAGGGCAAGGTGTCCCTAGCCATCCAAGCCACCCCTGGGTTACTGCCAGGACTACGTGCGCCTGGAGTGTTGCGAGTTCCCGAAGAGAGGCTGTCCTTAGATTGGGCGAGGGATAACCGGTCCGCCCCAACATCAGGCTGGAAGGCGGGGCAGCCTCTTCTTTGCCTCAAAGGGTCCGCCTTGTCTATCCAGCTGTCTCTTCGCGCTGGGCCGATGAAGCACTCCACTGTCAGAAGCGGTCCCAACTTCAGGCCCAGTAGCAAGTGAGCCCGGACAGTACCACCGCTTGAGGGACAGGGTACATGCCTTGGACTGTACCAACAACTAGCCACGGGGTTACGGCGAGGCCGTCCCGCAAGCCCCGCCCAGCAGGTGGCGGCCCCTCCCCAAGCCGACGTGCAGAAAGGAACGCGCCGGCCTCGCCCGCGAAGGGTTGCGCGGCGGTGGGCGGGGCGTGCTGCCTCCCCCTCGTGTTCACTGGCTGCATCCCCGCAGGGTGGGCCCGACTTGACCGGTCATTGGCTGCAGGATAGATCATTTGCATATGGGCGGGGTAACTGGGCCCGATTGGGGCCCGCCTTGGGTGTGATAGTGGCCTCCGCCGCCACTGAAGTTGATTCAAGAGCTGGCGATGGCCCTCTGCCGGGGTCGCAGGTGAAACAGGATGGTTACAAGGTTGGCGGATGGGGGAGCATCTTCGAGGCTGCCTTTCCCTGGGGGATATGGGGATTGGGCGGGACAAGAGAGGAGTGGCTCTGTTGTCCAAGTTGGAGGGGCGGAGGCGGGGATGGAGAAGGCGACCCCTCCACTTGCCCGCCAGCCCGGGCAGTTCTTCCAGGCTCAGGACAGCCACTGCCCACCGCACACTGCGTTGCTCCGGACCCACTGTGCGTGTGACAGCGGCTGATCTGTCCCTGGGCAGCGCGAACCCCTGGCCCTTCAGTGACCCGGGTCTGGCAGGCAGGCAGGCAGCACTGTGGGGAGGAGTAAGAGCACCTGGGTTCAGAGAGGCAGGGTAGCAGGCCATTAGGAGAGGCTTGCACCTACAGACAGGCCTGCGTGTGGGAGCACTCTGGGGGCTTCTCTGCCCTTCACGTGTGGGGCTGAGGTTGGGTCAGGTACCCTTTGGAGGAAACTTTCTTACGTGTATTGGGTTCGAGGCTGTGCAAACCTCAGAACAGCTACTTTCGAAGTCATCCAAGGAATCTCTGGGCAGGTACAGGTGTGAACTTCAGCCAACAGGACCAGAGCCTAAGGACCCACCTCCCGAGGGCCACCTCTGGGACTTCCTACAGGAAGATAGCGAGTTTGAGTGCTTCTGCCTGTTTCTGCCATTCAGTGAGGGAGTACCATGGATCTCTCTGTGGGTTCCTGGGACAAGCCTCTCGCAGGGATGCTCCTGCTAGGTGTCCTCAAGTCCACCCTGAAGTGGAAAAGGACATCCAGGGAAGCTATAGGCTACAGGCCTAGGATATCTGTAGCAGGTCCGGTCCCTAGAGATGGAGGAGCAGGCTTAGTCTAGACCTCTCCGGACTGACACTGGCTTCTGGAAGGGACTCTGTTTTGTCATCACAGTGGTATCAAACTCAGTGTTCTACAGATGAGGGGAGTCTTATGTGGCCTCTGGGTTGAGAAACTGCAAAGCTGACTCTTACTGCTTGCTGGACAACTACTTACTGGGGAGATCCTCAGAACTAGGAGGAGACCTAGTAGGCCCTGACTTCTGGTTGGATTGCCCAGACAAGGAGATTGCCTACCACACACTGAGAGCTGGTAAGGTCCTAACGTCACCCTTGTAGGGTAGCTTACTTAGCTAGGTCCTGCCCTGTCACGGACCAGACATTTGTGAGCAGCTTGTCTGTTCCTCACTTCAGTACACATCACACCATTGTTTCCAAAGTAAAGCTGCAAATTCCAAAATAAACTTTTCATTAACTCAGGGGCTTGTCTGGTGATTCAAAGCAGTCTAGCAACTGTTTGGAGTATGGATGTCTGTCCATTTGAAACAGCCATTGAGGAGTGGATCTCTACCGGCCTTCCCGTCAAAGCATAGTGGCTACGTGAAGAAGAGGGCTTGGTAGCTTCTTCAGTGCCACCAGTGACAGCGTACTACAAACTGGACCTGGCCTGCGCAGAGGCCTCAGGAGAAACAGGTGCTCGTCATGACACGGGAAACATGTGAAAAGACTCAACTGAGGAGGCTATGGCTTACCCCTGCCTAGCTTCCTGTGTCGGGTGTTCTCTGTGCACCCAGTAGACTGCATGCTTAGCCTGGGAAATGAACCGTGATGAGCTGAGGACCAGTGCCAAGAGGTCCATTCGGCTCTCCTGAGTGTGGGCAGGGCTTTAGGTTCAGGAAGCAGGTTCCTCAGACCCACCTTCCCACAAGGATACTGCCCTAGTGGCTTCTGCACTCTAGGATCTACGTGACCTTTTGGTTGGCCCTGCCTATCTGGGGCCACGGGTCAGGCAGGTCTAGGCTGCAGCAGGCTCAGGCTGGAATGCAGACAGGAGTAGTCTGCAGGAAGTTGCGGCCTGCTGACACCAGATCAGGAGCCTCCCTCTGTTGCCTGGCCTCTCCCCTTCCCTGTTTCCTGCTTCAGGGAAGAATATGGTCTGTTGGGTGATGGCCATGCACGCCTTTAATCTCAGCACTTGGGAGGCAGAGGCAGGCAGATCTCTGAGTTTGAGGCCAGCCTGGTTTATAGAGTGAATTTCAGGACAGCCAATACTATACAGAGAAACCTGTTTTGAAAGCAAAAAAAAAAAACCAAAAAAACAAACAAACAAAAAAAACAAACAAAAAAAAGTCTTTTTGTTCCTCCAGCACAGGAGTTCCATGTCCCTTTCAGTTGGCCCCAAAAGAAGTAGGGAGCACAGCACTGACTGTAGCTCAGGAGCCAGCAGGAGAGAAAGCTGAGCCCATCCCAAATGTTCTCTTCAATATGGTATAAAGACCCTCATAATCTATGGTGTTCCCAACTTGTCACCCAATTCTACCCAAAGTTCTGATCCTCACAAAGGTTTCTAGTCCCAGGAGCTTGGAACACCTGGCCTGCCTGGGTAACCAGGATTTTGGAAGAGGTCACTATCAGCTCTAGAGCCAGAGCAGCAGCTGGGCTGGGCTGTGGAAGTGTTCCTGCCCCAATGTCAAGGCTGGAGGCTCATAAACAGGCTTCACACCCACTCTGGGAGGAGAGGGACAACCCCTACAATTCAATGCCCATATCCACCTTGAGGCTGGCAAAGTTTTCTAGGGAAAACTCTCTGGGCCTGGCCAACCCAGAAGTCATAGACTTGACCCAAGAGTTCAGGACTCGCCCCCACAAGTTCTCAGCAAACCTGACGGGCGGGTCTAGCTTGTCCAGGCATCCTCAGTTCCTGCTGCTGGTGGCACACAGGCCAAACAAGGAAAGTCAGGGAAGAAGGGTCCAGATAAAAACCAGCCCAGGGCTGAACTGGCAGGCCTCACCAGGCTAGGGGTTACAAATAAACACTCCTAGGAACAACAGTCAGGACACGGGGCCCTGGGAGCCCCAGCTTTGAACCCTACTGAGTACTGGCCTCTAAAAACACTACTTTCTCAGGAACCACCATGTGGACAATTTCTGAACCACAGACACTGCCCAGTGGTACAACTTCAGAACATACTCAAGCACCTTTGAAAGGTAGTTTATTGAGGTTTGTCAGGGCAAGGAAGGCAGCACACACGCAGTGTAGCAAAGAGAAAGCACACACCCACAGGATGAATGCACTGTCCACACTACTCTCTCCTCCAACAAGGAGTGGCCTTTGGGGCCTGGTAAGTTCCGAACTGTGTCCACTGCTTCTTCAGAGGGCTTGGGAGACTTGAAAAAGACTAGACAACAGGTGGCTAGCACTCTCGCCCCTTGAAGCAGAAACCCCGGGACATCATAGCTTTCCCCACTTTAGGGAAAGAATCCCGTGATCATACTCTCCCATTGTCCAGGTGGCTCATTCCAGCTGTGCTGGCTCATCTGTCCTCAGTGTCCCCTACTTGAGCAGGAACTGCTACCTCCAGGAGCTCTGTCTCATGGGGGGAACTGTGAGAAAGACACAGGCTAAACGGGCTGAAACCAGAGCTGGGCCCTTCCCTTGGATTGGGGGTAGGGGTAGGGAGACAAACATACCCTCGGGGCTCAGGCTGGACACTAGGATATGGCTCTCGGGGACTCCCTGGAGGGGCTCTTCTCTGGTTGGAGGCTGAAGGTCCTGTGGAGAAAGCCGACGGTCAGTTGAGAACTAGGGTGGCCCCATACACCAGTCACCTCTTCCCAGAACTACTCTGACCTGTGTGCTAGGGATGGTTCTGTCCAGCTGTGAAGGTGGCGCCAGAGCAGCCCCTGTCTGCTGGATGAACTGTTGCAGGTTGCACTGACGGAGTTCCCTGTTCAGCTCCTCCAGCTCCTGAGCCTGAGCCTGGGGGCACACAGGACCTTCAGGGACAAGGCCTTGACCTTCTTTCCCAGGCCAAGCACTCTTCCTGGTCTGATCCAAACCCCCAAACTGCCCATGCAGCAGGTGGAGTGTTAACAGACTGGCTGTCTAGTAGGGAGCTGACAGGGGGTAGATCTCCTGGGCTCACCTGCAGAGCGTGCTCAGCAGCTTCCAGGGCCCGGCTCACCAGGGCCAAACTGCCTTGCATCTCCACACTATGCCGCTCCTGGACAGCCAAGTCCTGGCGCAATCGCTCAGTAGCAGATGCTGTAGCTGAAGGAGGCCCAGGGGCCTCAGCAGCCAGCCGAAGCTCTGCCTCCAGGGCACAGGCTTGGGCATCGAGGGCCTCCAGCTGGGCTGCATGCTCAGCAGTAGCCGCACTCAATGCTTGCAGGCGCGCCAGTCCCTCACGCTCCCTGGCTTGTTCTCGCCGAAGCTCCTGCTCCCAGAAGGCCTCATGGCCCAACTCCTCAGCGTTCCTCTGTATCCTGAGTTCCAGGCTCTGCAGGTCTGCAAAGCAGTCTGGCGTGGGTCCTACCAGGGCTGTAGGTTCAGGGATCGAGGGGCTGGGGACCACCCTGGGACATCCTAGGTTGAAGGTCAGTGCTCTGTGTGGCTCACGGCCTGGTGCGGCCCATGGCTTTGGGGGAAGACTGGCCCGAACTGGGCATCGTTCCGGGGGTGGACAGTTGTCTGAGGAGGGCCTTCCAGACAGGCTGGGTCCTGTCCGCCTCAGGACAAACTGGACATCATTGGCAAACTGTCCACAGGTGGCCTGGGCTCCTACTGGACACTCCTGCGGCAGCAGCTGCCGTTCCTTCTCCCTAAGACGCTGCACAAGGACAAAGCGGCCTGTCTGGCCTGTGGGGGAAAGACAGAGTCAGTCTCTATCGCCCCTCTATGCCCCTGGTTTGAGGAAGAGAGCAATACAAGGGTGGAGTCAACCCCACCCTCCTTGGCAGGGAAGATGGGGCTTCTGGGACTCCAGGGAACTCACCTATAGCTTGGGCTAGCGCGATGACTACTTCTTGGCAGGTGGTGTGTTCCGAGACCCCACAGACCACGCGCTGGATGCCATCCACCCACACCTTCAGCTCCATTACCACAAGCTCCAAGACCATCCCTGTCCTATGGGGAGGACACGGGCCATGAGATCAGGCCAGGCCTGCCTCCATCACAGCCTGGCCTTCCTCTTCTCTTGGCTTTGCCACAACAACCGGCTCAGGACTGTGGCCCTTCGGCCCTGCCCTCCTGTGCCCAGCCCCACCCGCAGGCCACACATTCCTGGAGCGGCTGGGGAACTAGTTTGGCCCTCTTGAGCATTTTGAGGCGTCCCCCTCCTGCACCAGCCTCCTCTTGCCCCACCCACCCCACTCCAGGAACAGGGCGAATCATTAACCAGGGCCAGGTTTTCTTGTCCCCCGGTCACCTGGCTCAAAGGCCACTACCCTTTTCACGCGAGGGCGGCCGTCCCCTGGCACCTAACACCGACCAAACGCAAATACGACGCCGTCCAGAGTCCTGGGAACGCCCCCCCAGGGAGGGAACAATCTGGGGCCGGGAGGAGCTGAGAGTTACGACCCAGACAGACCTCCATCTCCGAACCGACCCCAGATCTGAGCAGCCCCCCGCCAGTCCCCGGTCCGCCTCCGCAGTCCCTCCCGTCCAGCCAGCGCTCAGGGCTCCAGTGGTCCCGCCCCGCTGGGGGCACAGCCCGCCTCACGGCTGATCCCGGCCGCGCGGGATCCAGACGTCCCACTCCGCAGCCGGCAGACGCAGGTGCAGCACAGCCGCCGCGCACCCCCTCGCCCAGATCCGCTCCTCCTCGGCCGAAGACGGCTCCCCGGTGCCGCACCCAGGACTCAGGAGGCTCGAGAACTCCGCACAGCTCACCTGGGCGCCCGCCGGCCTCCGGGACTTGGGCGCTTCAGCGCCGCCTCAACCTGCTGTCCCAGCGCCGCGGCGCGCCCAACCTCACGGTCTCATTGGCTCGCGGCCCGCGCGCCCCGCCCCCCGGCACCCCATTAGAGCGGAGGCGTGTGTCTCCCGCCCCCTGCCCACTCCCATTGGCGGCCTTCCTCCCACCACGCCCCATTGGCTCGTTAACTCCGTCCCGCCCCGGAGGCATCCAGGTGTGGGCGGGGCCCGAAGTGGGTAGGGGCAGCGCCCGGGCGCTGGGGATGGTCCCCGCTGGTGCTCGACACGGAAGCGCGTCTGCAGCAGCGCTCGCTCGGGGCTGGTTGGCCCAGGTGAGGTGTGTTCCCAGCTGCGGAGCGGACTTCCTCAACTGGCTGGCAGTGTGACTGACTGGTCTCCGCCCACCGAGAGGGCTCCTGACTGGAACCCTGCAACTCTGACATGCACCCGGGCGCAACATTCGCCCTTCCTTCAGCAGCCTCGTCGGCTAAGCCCCTTCAGCCCTGCTCCCTTAAATCTGTACTCGAGAACACCGGGAAGAGAGGCCGTGAACGTCTCTCGCCCGCTATCCGAGAGAGGTGGAGTTGAGGGGCCGGCTGACCTGGTGGGCGCTGCAGCCCTGGTGGGGGAGGGGACCGTCCCTGTGTCTGCCTGGGACAAAGACCCTAGGGGCTTTGTCTGAAGCGCCATCCTCTCCCCTCCCCCAATGGGCCCAGAGCCCTCCAGAGCAGCCCTTCCCTCCCTAAAGCGGGCCCCTGCTTTCATATCTTGCCTGCGTCTCCGTGGGCTAAATCAAGCCAGGCCAGCCCCATGTGCCCTGTCCCAATCACAGAGAGCTGTGGGAGGGGGGTTCCCATGCCCTTGTGCCATAAAGCAGCAAATGTTGGAAGTACGAGGCTGTGGAAGAGACAAGGTAGAAGGAGCCTCTCCTGGGGCTCACTTCTGAAGCAGAAGCAATGTCCCCCAGGGTTCACTAGTGGAGCTACCATTGGGAGCCCAGAGTCATGGATATAGGCACAGCAAGATAAGGGTTCCAAGAGTTAGGTTAGGCTGTCAGACACAGGCTGGCTTAGTGGCTAGAGTTAGCACAGCCACGCCAGTCTTATCACCCTCAACTGCTCCATTAATCAGCGCAGATCCCTAGGACCGTTTACATAGTTAAGACACAGATGCATACTGAATTCACTCACAGGACACCATTCCCCAGGACCTGCCTATCACCACTGGCTAGGGTCGGGTTCCAGGGGTCTGATTAATTCGGTGGACCTCCTCAGCTTAGCTGGTAGGTCTAGCCAACATATCCGAACCACACTGGCACAGAATGCACTCATGGCCCTGGGCATCGTCTCCCTGGAGGCTCCTAGTAACAGACACCCTCCCCCCAGGTGCAGACATCCATGGCAACAGTATAGAACACTTTCCTCCCTAGACCTTCTGTGGGTTTAGGCCTCAGGTGAGTGTACGGGAGATTTCCTGGGTTGGAGGGACATGAACAAGGGTAACACGCAAAAGTTTAGAACCTCTCATCTTAGCTCTAGGCTGGGGTCTAGGGGACAAAGAGGAGACAGCAGGGAATATATGTACACACTGGGGACATGCTTCCTGGGAGGTGACCTGCTGTCCTAGCCTGAAATATACTCTCATATGACCAGCAGTCCTAATGTCCTGTTGGGTGGACACATGTGTGTTCCTCAGAGGGAATTGGCAAGCGCTTGTCTGGACTTCACTGACACACAAAGAGAGTCCCATGTGGTTCCCATACCTGGGCCACAGCAGACCCCATCCTGCCTCCTTCCATCCCAGCTCCTGACCAACATTGAGCATGGCCCCTAAGTCTTGCCAGGAGTCTGAAGATGAGCAGATGTCCCCAGCTCCAGCAGGTGTAAAGCCAGACAGCAGTGACTTAGAGTCTGCAGCCGGTACACCTATGGACACAGAGGCTCCTTCGTGTTCCCGGAGCAGTAAGCCCTACTGCGCACCTACCCCAGTGGGCTGCTCTATCAAGCAGCAGTAAGGAGGCAGGGGATGGGGCAGCCTCCTGGGTTGGGCCAGCCAAAGAGCCAGGCCTGATCAAACCACAAGGGGCTGGAATTGCAGGTTAGCCCCTGAAACCATGGACCCACGTACCCTGAGGCTGTTATGGGAACAGAGAGAACTAGAGATCCAGGCACTTCGGTGGGCTGTCCAGAATGGCCAGAATGCCCGATACTACCACATCCTGCAGGAAGTGGCAGGGATTCCCCCTGAGCGGTCAGTAGTGAAACCCCCAGCCTAACCCAGGCCCTATCCTGTCGTAGCTCCAAGTTTCTGTGTGACGCCAATCTCAAGCACTGAGCCCTATACCTGCCTGCTTCAGACTTTTAGTCTTTGCATGACTTGACACTCCACCATACTTTTGAAAAAGTTCCTGTGCGGAAAATGTAACCCTACCCCTGAGCATGTAGACCTCTGCCCAGACCTGCTATCATGTGTGCCTTTAGGGTTTGGTGGCTGTGGGGTGTCCTTTATTGCTGACCTACTCTCAGGAATCCTGGCCTGCCCCAGAAGCGCTGAGATTGCTCCTCCTACCAGGAACTCCAAAAGTCAAGACAGATTCCTGCAGAACCAGGTCCAGAAACTTACGCTGGAGCTGAAAACGCAGAAAGAACAAGCCCAGCTGGTGAGGGGAAGGGAGCAATGCCTTGGCAGGCAGTAGCTACCCACCTGAGGTTGGCTGGAAAGGTGGGGTTGCTGGAGGCCTCTTTCACCAGCACTAGCAGGCACTCTCAATCAGGAGAAAGAACGCTTGGAGGAGAAACTGCGGCAGAACTGCCGTACAATGCAGCAGATGGAGGCTGAGCTGCAGACTTTCCAGAAGTCGTGCCTTCTACAGCTGGCTCATTCCTCTTGGGTAGGACGCGTGCTTCGGTCTCAGACTGGCAGTGTGGAGGTGAGTTTGTGCCCCTCCCTGGCTCAATACCTGTCAGGCAGCCCCCCCTCCAAAAAAACAAAACAAAAAATCCTTGGGCAGCCAGCATGCTTCTTTAGGTCCTGGCCTGTTTGAGAAACCTTGTCTCCCTTGGGCTGTTTCCATAAGGAGGATTTCTATGACCAGCAGCCTCCTCATCTAGTATACACCAAGTATACTGTTAAGGTCAAAAGTGAGAGAACCCGTGGGGGAAGGGCGTCCTTCCTCAAGCCACCTGTCAGCTTCTCTATGGTTCTTTCTTGTAGGTGGTCACTGCAGAGGTCCTAAGGGACCCTACTGACTCTACTGAGTATGTTGAGGGTCCCACTTCTAGGGAGGTAAGCAAGGTTTGCCACAGGAGGCATTCCATGTGTATGACAAGGCCCTTGAAGCCCTGAAAAGTCGGGGAGCTGCATTGCTCTTATTTCCTGCCAGGAATTCCGGTTGGAGGATGTAGATTGGAACAGCATTGCCCACCGATATCCCAACCTCTTCTCCAGCATGAGTTTCCACACAGATGAAAAGTAACTGCATTGGACAGGGAGTCCCCAGGGATCAGGGGAAGGGAGGACTTGGCTTGACAGAGGTGGACCAGTTCCCATTGTATCCTTAAGTGTTCCCAGACAAGTCATGTAACCCCTTCAAAGCCTCAGCTCTGATATGTAGTATGTGGAATGGGTTCAAGACAAGGGGAGGAGCTCCAAGGTCATCATTAACTTTATTAATTTACCACAAGCTGGGTCTGACTCTTGAGTTCCTGGAGCACAAACCAGGGTGCCCATTGCCTTGGGTAGGCTGGCTGGGGTGGAGGGCATGGGTCCTGGGTTTAAGAGCCCAAACAGTCAGTAAACATATCATGGTTCCAGGCTGCGTCAGCCCCACCAGTCCTCTGAAATGGATACCTGGGACTCCGAGTGTACTCTCAAGCATGTGGAGAAGCCTAGCAAGATCCTGGGGTGGGGCGCCTTGCCTTTGGCAAACACCAGAAGCTCAGAGGGTGCCGACTCTGACTCCAGCAGCTGCCAGATAGCTCTGCATTCTGGAGCAAAGAAGGTGACAGGCCACCCACCCCAGGGAACAGACTTAGCTTCTGAGCAGACGCAGGAATGCACTAGGAGCTTCAGCAGACACACAGAAGGTGGAGTTGGCTGCCTCTCCCTTATACCCTTTAGCAACTTATAGCCTCTGCCCAACGTCCTCTCAGGTCCTTCAGCCCCCAAGGTGCAGTTGCTTCTGCCCAGATCTGAACCCGACTGAGGTTTCCCTATTATGCAGACCCCTGGTCTGACCTCCTGGGGAACCTCCCCCACTGGACTCTCTGTGTTCTTCCTCCTCTAAAGGACTTCTTTTTCCAGATCTTCATAGAAGCTGCTCACCCTCGCTTAGCAAGACTGTTCTGGAGCCCTGTGCAGACCTTCACCACCAACACACAAGGCCCCAGTTGAAGTGAGAGGCTGCCCAACCATGAGCACACCAGGAAAAGCAGGGAGGCTGCATGATGGGTGGGCTTCGTGGGTGGATGGGGCCCCTATTCTCTGTTCAGCATCCCTTTCTGGCTGCAGCCCACTTGGTTGCTGCTTGAAGATCGCTGCGGTCAGCCACCGAGAGAAGTTCATCCGTATCCTCAATCAGTCTCAGGCAGAGACTGTGGACCTGGGTGGCTTCGTAGTGCAGCAGCTTGTGAGGGACTACCCTGTGTGCATGTACCGCTTCCCACCTGGTATTCTGCTAGCCCCACAGCACCACATCACGGTGAGCCCTGCTGCCAGCCAATACTGCCTTGCCCCGGTCTACACTGTTCCTCACTTAGCACCCAGCCTTTTCCTAGGTGTGGGGCGAAGGAACCAGCAGGACCAAGAAGCAGCTGCCAGTGTCCTCGGACCAGGAACCCTTCCACTTCCAATCCAGCCTAGGTTGTGTGACAGTGCTAGTCAACCCCCACGGCCAGGTCAGTGGGGGTCCCAGCCTAGGAGGAGCCCAGGGGCCGGCCTCACAGGGTTAGGGTAAGTAACACGATGGCCCTGCAGGTCCTCAGTGAGCATCAAGCTGCACCCTGCGTGACCTTGGGCTCGAAGATGTTCACCGACAACACTGACTGGTCCATTGACCGCTTCCCTCTCTCAGAGTCTGAGCCCAAGGCTGACTCTGGTGAAGAGCAGTGTCGTCCTTCATCGCCACACAAGGGCAGGGTGCGCAACTCTGGGGCCAGGCGTAAGAAGCCCGGGTAGGTGCAAACCCCTTATTCTGCCTTGCAAAACCCGCCCCTATTTCCTTAGGTGTCGCCTTGGACAGGACTACTACCCTGGCCCATACTATCTTGCATTACACTTGCCCTGAATTGACTAGGATACTTCTCAGGCCCCTCCCACATCTCCAGGCCAGGTGTTCACCAGCAAAGGCACTTCCGCACTGGCACTAGCGCACTGAGGACTTCGGGATCGCTTCGCCCCACCGAGACCCGGGATATCTTGCCACTCCTGAGCACCCGCAAGCTTCTTCACCCCGGGGAAGTTCCCGCACAGCAGGAAGGCGTGAAGGCTGAGACAGCAGAGCTCCTGCCTGCAATCCCAGAGTGTTCCTCGAGAGTGTGCCTCAAAGACTCGCTGTGTTGGCAGGAGCGCAAGGTCCAGGTGAGTGTGATGCTTTGGCCCCAGGTTCTCTGCTCTGCCAGTCCGTGCAGCTCTTCGGCCCCGGTGTTTTCTGCAGGTATGCCGGAAAAGCGTGGACCTAAGTTGCCCCATGGTGGCCCTGTCAGTACAGAGCACAGCTGAGAGCAAATATGGATTCCGCTTCCTCTGCTACCCTCCCATCACTGAGGACTTGTGCCGGCGGTTGTAGAGCAGCCAGGCCATGCAGGCAGTGCCAGCTGCATAATTTATTGAACCAACCGTTGCTTACAAAGTAAAGCACATTTCTGCACACCTGAGAGTCGAAAATGATTCACTTGGCTTTTACAGAGAGTATTTGGTGTCTCAAGAGAAAGGACCAGTCGCACATAGGGAAACCTGCAAATCCACCCAGAATGACTATGCCCTTTTGCGGACTAGGACAAGCAGGCTTAGAACTTGGGCCACATAGGTGACCCAGGGTCCTGGGACATCTAAAGAGCTCAGTTCCAGCTCCAGCCATTCAGCCTTGGCCCCATCCAGGCCAAGAGATCTCAACAAGGGAGGGTTACATTAAGGGAGAGAGTGGGCTGGAGGGATAGGGTTCAGGTGATGGAGGCAGTGGAGGCCTGGAGGGCAAGCTGCTGGACCTAGTGCTGGCTTTGGGTCTGGGCATCCCTGGACTCGGTGGTCCAGTGCTCTCAGGGCAGTCACTGCAGCCAGCCTCTCACCCAGGCCAGACCCCTCGCCCAGGCTAGGCCCCAAGCTACCTAGGACTCTAAGCCTACGCCCTCTGAAGGGCAGATCTGCAGATCTCACCGAGGAGCTGCTGCCTGACTCAGGTGGCTTTGGGTACTTTGGGGGAGAAGGGATCAGGTGAAAGCCTGGTGTCCTGGAAAGTTCTAGAAAACAAGGAAAAAAACAGCATGTCAGAGAGGACCTGTCAGACAAGGTGGGGGAGAGTTAGCTGCAGCCTGGAGATGATGGCAGGCTAGGGGCAGTGCAACCCCAAGTGGAGAGGGTTTCAGTGTCCTTTTCTGTTTCACTGTGGAGCCTACAGATGGAAGCATCCCTGTCTCTCTAAGCCACATCTCTTTGCTCTGCTTCATCTGCATTCCAGAGAAAATACAGCTTCAGCCCTGTGGCTACCTCTAGAGCAGTGGTTCTCAACCTGAGGGTCACCATCCCCACAGGGGTTATATATAAGGCATCCTGCATATCAGATATTTACATTATGATTCCTAACAGTAGCAAAATTACAGTTATGAAGTAGCAACAAAGATAATTTATGGTTGGGGGTCACCACAACATGAGGAACCATATTAAAGGGTTGCAGCATTAGGAAGGTTGAGAGCCACTGCTCTAAGGCAAATAAAGTGATTGGGCTCTGGCTCTGGGTCATCTGACCTCCATTCTTGAGTGTGTGCTCATCCCTGAGGCCCTGGTGGCTTCAGGCTAGTTCTTAAGCTTCTGTAATAGTATAAAGTAGATGGCTAGGGTCACCAGTGCCTTCTAGGCCTGACATCTGTAGCAAGAGGGCTAGACACCATTCCAGTCAACCCTTCTGCTGGTCACCTTTCTACTGCCCTTTAACCTGTGCAGTTCTTGTCCACTGGGGGGCCAGCTGTTGATCCTGCTTCACTCTGAGGGTCCTCTTCCCACCCACTGCCCCAAGTGCCAGCTAGTCTACAGAGAGGCAAAAGTGTGGTTGTGTGGTCCTTCAGAGATGGCCGCTGACCACCTCTATACCCTCAATGTCTGTCCATGCCCACAGTGTGCCTTTTTAAGGAACTGCTGGGTAAGGGTCTTTCCAATGAAGCAGCAGTCACTCTGGCTCCCTTGGAAAGGGTTTGCCTGGCTTAATTCTGCATCCCAATGCCAGCACAGGTCAGTCCTGCCTGGGTTGAAGCCACTGAAAGTTTCTAACCCTCTCTGCCTTGCTCTCCTAGTGGTTTTGTTCATCACTTTCCCACCCCTCGATTCCTGTCAGTTTCTCCTGAGAACTGGTGTCTGCTTCTGGATACCCTTGGCGACCAGAGGCTCCCAACAGATGCTTGCCTCTGGACTTGCCCTGTAGCCTTCTTTTGTGGAATGCTTTCCTCTCTCCTTTAGCCCAGGTGCCCTCAAGGTGTCATGGTATGGAGGAGGAGCTGGGATTGACCTTCTCTAGGTTGTGAAACCTACCCACCCCCCACTCCGCCAAGAAGAGGACTGTCTGCCTTCCCAGAACCCGGAAAAGGAAGGGGCTGACTATATTATCCTAGTTTGAGGTGGGAACAGCCGTTCCCAGATGGAGGGTCAGGTTACTCTCAGGCACTGAGAGTACCTGAGGCCAGGCGTGGGGGGGTTAGGGAAATCTTGGGTCCAGTCTGGTCTTCCTGTTCTTCAGGAGCCTTCTGTGGGTCCTGAGCTGGAGCTGGAGCAAGCCTTTCCTGCTGGAACTCCACCTGCCTGTGGAGGAGAGGACCGAGGCAGGAGAAGGCAGAGCTGCAACCGTGTCTGCCTCAGACCCAGTGACAAATGGCCATCACACTGGGATGGAACTCTAGCCTTTGGCCCCTTTGACCACCATGGGAGACCAATGGCTGCTCAACAAAGGAAACTTCCAGCCCAGATCCCTCCCCCCTCAAGAGAGGGCAAAAGGTGGTAGGGTTGGCAGGGTAAGGGACACCAACCGCAGGCCAGGCTCCCTCCAGGCCCGGAGCCCAATCATGGCCAGGTCACAGCTTTCTGTAGGGTCAGGCCTTGGGGTAGAGGGGTGGGTGGCCAGATCTGGCCTATGTGAGGGCAGCTGCTCCAGGGGTGCCCATTCCTAGGGAGGGAAAAGGCTGCTGTGGGGACCCTGACCCCGGAGTGGGAGGGCCAGAGCATGGACATGCCAGTAGTCCTGAACACTGATGTATGACGGGGAGCTCTGGGTAATGGTCTACCATGGGGTGAGGGCAATAGGTGATGGTCTACTTTGGGAAGGAGGGTTGTAGTCATATGTGGGGAAGGCATACCTGGTACTGGTGTCTACGCTCCCTCAGGCCTTTGGTGGGGTTCCCACAGAGAACTTGACAAGCACCTGAAGAAGAGGATGTGGCTATGCCTGGTTTGGGGTCAAGGTACTTGCCATATCAGCTCTGGGCCAAATAGGTTTAGTTACCATGGGTGAGGCTGCTGGAATGGTCTTCTGTGGCTGGATTCTCAGGCAAGGGGCCCTCAGGGACCAGCAAAGACAGAGCCCATGGTTGGGTCTCAGGCACAGGCAAGATTGGGTCAAGTTTCCGTATAGTGGTTCCATGGGAACAATCTGTCCAGGGTCAGATCCAGAGATCACTGGGCTCATTATAGACAGCATGTTTCAAACTCAGACCACAGAACACAGCCCTGTCACTCAAGAAGCTGTGTGACCTAGGGACTGGCCTGTGAGGGTTCCTTTTCCTTCCTGAAAGACCCTCAGGCTTATACCCTCCTCTTCTTCCACATAGGAAAGGGGAAGCCAGCTGGTGCTGTAATGGGAGTGTCCTGACCTGGGGTCAGTCTGCGTGGTTCTGCAAAAGAGGAGCTAAGGCTGGGAAAGGGAACAAAATACAGCCACCCATCTCTGCGAGGCCTGGGGAACTAGTGGAGGTCTTCTGCTCTGGGGTTGAGCGAAGCCTGTCCTCTTAGGGGACCGGTAGAAGCCTGTCTTCCTGGAGGGCTAGAGGAGGTCTCCTCTGGAGTCGGAGACTGGGGCATAGTATCGAGGTCCATAGTAAGTGTTTGGCATACCCAGCCGAGGGAGGAGAATGTCAAGCACGCTGCCTTCCTTGATGGCCTCCTTCACCATCAGCCAGTCCTGATTCAGCTTCTGGGAAGCAGGCAGGTTGGTGCATGTGGTGGGTATCTCATCTAGGATGTGGAGCTGGGGGATAAGCTTCTTTACCTCTGCCCTATAATTGTAGTCCTGGGGTGCCTAAAGAGGGAGGGGGACAGCAGACCTGGGTCTGGTGGGCCCTGCAGGCCAGCTGGTTGCTGGGGCTCCCTCTTCCAGACTGCTGTGGTGCAGGACAGAGGAGACAGGGTAGTGATACTGCCTCATCCTACTGGAGCCTATGGGTACCTTCACCCTCCAAGCCCATAGCCAGGGTTCAGGGATGCCCTCTAATATGTGGAACTGATTATGGGTCAATATCAAGCAGCAGTTATTGAGGTGAATAGTACACTTGGAGCATGTGTGGCCTTTGTGGGGGTTCAAGTAGATTTACCTGCTGTAACAGAGCTTGCATATGCCTGATGCCAAACAATTAGGCTGTTTAGGCCTCCAATGACAGAAGGGATAGCTCTTAAGGAGAACAAGCTAAAAGGTGCATGTGGGCCCCGAGGTTCCCATTCTGGGTAGGGGTATCCATCCCAAATATATGTTGACTGGGTGTTCAGCACCCATACCTTGTTGGAAGGGCCAGGGTCTGGCTTCAAGCACACCAGATTCCCCTCCAGTGTGAGCGTGGCCAGCCGTGGACACAGCTGCAGGTACCGCATCTGCCCCAGGTCTTCCACATTGTTGCCCTCAAGGTCCAGCACCTCCAGTTGCTCGAGCAGGCACAGTGGGCTCAGGTCTGAGATGTTGTTGTAGGAGACATAAAGTTCCTGAGGACCACATGGGGGACTCTTAGCTGGGGTCTGACTTGATCTCTGTTCCTTGTCCCCAAGTGCTACAGACTTACCTTCAGTGCCAAGAAGGAGCCAATGCCATCCAAGTCAGTCAGGCCACAGCGAGCCAGCCACAGCACCTGCAGGTGGCCCAGAGAAGTGCCCAGGTCTCTGCAGAAGGCAGGCAGAGTGGTGTGATGATTAATCTTCAGGGTCAACTTGACTGGATTTAGAATCACTTAGGAGACACATTTGGAGCATGTGTCTGTGAAGGCATTTCCAGAAGGGTTTAACAGAGGAGGAAAGACCCACCCTGAATGTGGGTGGCATCTCCTCATGGGCAGGGATCCTGAAGAAAAAATAGGGAAAAGGAGAAAGCCAGCTGATTGCTGGCACTCCCTTTTCTCTGTTTTCTAATCTGCTCAGATGTGAGCAAGCTTCCACGGCCACAGATACGAGCTGCTCCTGCTGTCACGTCTTCCCTGCCATGATGCTATAATCCATAAACCATAAGCCAGAGAAACCTCTCTCCCATTAAGTTGTTTCTTGTCAGGTATTTAGCCATAGAAGCAGCAATAAGTAACTACTATGAGTGATCGGTGCTGTCATGGGGTTGAGGGTTCTGTCTTTAGCCAACAAAAACCAATGCCAAACTACCACCCGCTTAGGCTGCCCTCAGCTGCAGGGATGGTTGTGCCTTTGCTTGTGATAGCTTCCAGCTGATGTGCTCCAGAGATTCCTATTCTTCTCCCTGCTCTAGCATCCCAGGGAAGGTTAAAGTGTGTCCCTGGAGAGCCCATGTTTGTGGGCATAGAGGTCCCTGGCATGTGGAGGCCCCTTCTCAAACACTTGTTCAGCACCCACACCTTGTTAGAAGGGCGAGGGGCCAGCCTGAGGCATACCAGATTGACCATGAGGAGCTGCCTTCAACCTGATGCCTTGACGCAGCCCTATGGGCTACTTGTACCTGCTACATGTTGCTGTCCATCCCTGTCTGGCTTATTATACCCATGGGGCCTCTTTTCCCTGCAGTGTACACAGAGAGTGTGTTTGAGGACCTGTCCTTGCTCTCGCCTGCTGTGATGCTCTTCTTGTATCACTGACCTGCTCTTTGCCTCATAGTACAATTGTCACTGACCTCAGGCTTCATCAACTGCCGCTATTTTTCCATGGCCCTAAGTTTTTTTGGTAAGGACTCATCTACCATGTTGCCTGCCTGGGGCTTGTTTACTGCTGTTGCTCTAGGCTATATATTTTCTTTAGTCTTTGTCCTTCAGTTGCAAAGATTCATTCAGCATTTACCCTATCAGTTGCCTTAAATCACCATGCTTTCTTTTTAAAATTCGTGTGTGTGTGTGTGTGTGTGTGTGTGTGTGTGTGTGTGTGAATATATAGCACATTTGTGCAGGTACTCATGGAGGCCAGAAGACGATATCAGATCCCTTGGGGTTAGAGTAACAGATGGTGACAAGTCACCTGACATGGGTATTGGGAACTGAATCTAGGTCCTCTGAAGAGCAGGTCATCTCTCCAGCCCTCCAGCCCACCTGAGTGTTTGAGATGATCTAACACTGTAGTCTAGGCTGACCTGGAACTTGAGGCAGTTATCCTGTTTCAGCCTCTCAATACAGGTGTGTACCACCATACTAGCAATCTCTCTCTCTCTCTCTCTCTCTCTCTCTCTCTCTCTCTCTCTCTCAAGACAACTTGTTAGAACTGGTTCTGTCCTTCCTTTGTGTTCCTATTAAAACAAAGTTTACTTATTTATGTGTATGTGTATCAGAGTGTATGCCATGTGTGTGAAGGTATCTTGGAAGGCCAGAGAGGCTTAGATCTCTACTCTGGAGCTGGAGTTAGAGATGGTTGTGACCCCCCTGACTTGAGTGCTGGGATCCAAATTCAGGTTCTTTGGGAGAGCATCAAGTGTTCTTCACTGCTCTTTCTCTCTCTCCTCTCTCTCTCCTCTCTCTCTCTCTCTCTCTCTCTCTCTCTCTTCTCTCTCTCTCTCTCTCTCTCTCTTCTCTCTCTCTCTCTCTCTCTCTCTCTCTCTCTCTCTCTCTCTCTCTCTCTCTCTCTCTTAAACTGCCTTGGGCAGTTAGTTTTAGTTTTCATCATTGCTGTCTGTGGTAGGTCACATTGGTTTTCTGAGGGGTTGCCTTCACTTTGTCTTGTCCCTGAAGCGTTTTTTTGTTGTTTTGGCCTATTCCTTTTCAGAGCTTGCCCACTTCTTTCTTCTTGCAACCTGTAGCTCAGAAGAGTTAACATGACTGGACTGAGCTTCAAGGGAGTCAGGCAACTTCCATGTCTTTTGGTGGACCATATATCCAGCTGAAAATAGATTCTTCTTGTTGTAGAGGAATAAGTATTAGGAAATAATTAGAGTTTACCATACTTCGTAATAATAGGAAAAATGCAAAAAGCAAAGCATATACCATTCATAGAGTCTTACAACAGACACAAAGAAATGTCTACAGTTTTAAATGAACTTATCAAAAAGTTAGACTAGCCTGGTGTCTTAGTTAGGGTTTCTATTGCTGTAAAGGCACACTATGGCCATGGCAACTCTTATGAAGAAAAACATTTAATTGGGGTGGTGCGTATAGTTCAGAGGTTCAGTCCATTATCATCATGGTGGAGCATGGTAGCAAGCAGGCAGACATGGTGATGTCTTGATAGTTGATCAGAAGCAATAGGAAGTGGACTGAGTGTAACACTGAGCATAGCTTAAGCAAAGAAGATTGCAAAGCCTACCCACACAGTGACACACTTCCTCCAACAAGGCATACCTATTCCAACAAAATCACACCTCCTAATAGTGCCACTCCCTGTAGGCTTATGGGGGCCAATTACATCAAACTACCATATCTGGTGTGGTGTCATACCTGTATTGAAGTTCAGGAAGCTGAAGGAGACAACATCATGACCTCAGCTCAAGGCTAGCTTTCGTGAGATCCGTGTCATTTAAAACAAAATGAGCTGGGTGTGGTGGATTATACTTTTAATCCCAACATTGAGGAGCCAGATACAGGTGGATCTCTGGGTTCAAGGATAGCCTGATCTATAAATTGAGGTACAGGACAGCCAGGGCTACACAGAGAAACCCTGTCTCAAAAAGCTCTGCCCCCCTCCCCAAAATAAAACCAAGTCAAGCACTGTGGCTCACGTCTGTATTCTCAGCACCGCAGAAGCAGAAGCAGAGGCAGGAAGATGAAGAACTCAAGACCACAGTCTGGAGAGAAAGCTCAGTGTAAGAGCACTGGCTGCTCTTCCAATGGATGGCAGTTCAATTCCCAACATCTACATGGCAACTCCTGACCATCTAAAACCCCAGCCCCAGGGGATGTGATGCCCTCTTTTGGCCTCTGAGGGAACCAGGCATGCACATGGTGCACTGTCATACATGCAGGCAAAATACCTACAAACATAAACAAACAAACAACACAATACAATAACAGAAAAGGAATTCTAGGCCAGGCTTGGTTATAGCAAGTTTTAGGTCAGCGTGGGTTACTCGAGACTGTCTGGAAAAAGAAAAAAGCCGGACAATTAGAACAACTGTGACAAGCACTTAGCACAAGGAGAAGGAACAGTAACAGAAGCCAAGGAGGAAGAGTGAGGTCAAGATAAGGATGAATCTGCTACAATTAGAGAAGGATAACAACCCAGAGTTGATTTCTAACTGGCAAGACTGATGAAGAGACAGACAGATGATAGATGGACAGACAGACAGACAGATAATGCATCTGAAAAGACAATCAAGGTGACCATAGCAGCAATGTAGGATGATAAAAAACCAGTATGAAGAAAGCATGCATTAACAGCTTTAGGTCTTGACAAGGTTGGCACTTATAGAACAGAAAGCTTGGCTCAAGGACTGGGAGGTAGCAAAGTGAGTAAAGTGCTTGCTCTGCAAGAGTGAGGAACTGAGGCTGAATCCCCTGCAATCACTTAAGCTAGGTATAGCTGCCTGATCCCATAGTCTAAGCACTAGGAGGAAGCAGGCAGGGGTTCACTGGCCAGCTTACCTAGTTGAAACAGCAAGTGGTGGGTTTAATAACAGACCCATTCTCAAAAAATAATGTGGATAGTGATATATGAAGACATCTAGTGCTGACTCTGGCCTCCACATGTGTATACATGGGCAAGAGCACCTACGTATGTATGTGCACATACACAGACACTCCAGCCCTACCATACTACCATCACCACCACCACCAATGACAACAGAAACCTGATTTGAAAGTAGGACTCTCTTAGTTTGAGCCAAGTTTTAAAGTATGTTATAAAACTGGTGGTAGTGGGACTGGAGAGATGGCTCACTGGTTAAGAGCACTGCCTGCTCTTCCAAAGGTCCTGAGTTCAATTCCCAGCAACCACATGGTGGTTCACAACCACCTGTAATAAGATCTGGTGCCCTCTTCTGGCCTGTATACTTAATAAATAAATAAACCTTAAAAAAAAAAAAAAACCTGGGGGGCTGGAGAGATGGCTCAGCGGTTAAGAGCATTGCCTGCTCTTCCAAAGGTCCTGAGTTCAATTCCCAGCAACCACATGGTGGCTCAAAACCATCTGTAATGAGGTCTGGTGCCCTCTTCTGGCCTTCAGGCATACACGCGAACAGAATATTGTACACATAATAAATAAATAAATATTAAAAAAAACTGGTGGCAGTGGTGGCACAAGCCTTTAATTGCAGCACTTGTGATGCAGAGGCAAAAGGATCACCATGAGTCTAAGTATAGCCTAGGTTACACAGAATTCTAGGCTAGCCTGAAGTAGCACATACCTATGATCCCAACATCTGGGAGGTTTAGGCAGGTGCAGGAGGATCAAAGTTGGAGGACAGGGCTCGAGAGAACACTCAGAGGTTAAGAGCACTGGCTGTTCTTCCAGAGGACCTAGGTTCCAGCACCCACATGGCAGCTCACAACTGTCTGTGACTCTAGTTCCAGGGGATACAAAGACCTCTTTCTGCCCCTACTCAGGTACCAGGCATATACCTGGTACACAGACATACCTACAGGCAAAATACCCATCCACATAAATAATAATAAAAAAATAAAAATATGATCCAGATGGGGTGGTGGTGGCACATACCTTTAAATCCCAGCTCTTGGGAGGCAGAGGTAGGCAGATTTCTGAGTTCAAGCCAGCCTAGTCTACAGAGCAAG